GTATTATTTAAAACATGTAGCTTCTCTTTTTGATTTTTTTTTTAATAATTTAGTTGTGTTTAACTGAGATACTGTGAAAGGTACAGAAGCATGTTTCAAGTCAAAAGAATTCAAATTTTTTACTAAAATAAAATACAATTTCTGTTTATATTTTAAATCCATGCAAAACCATCTTCTCCAAACTAGGATATTAATCATATATTGCTATTGTAGTAGAAGAACAAAGGAATCTTTCACTGCACAAGCCATTTCATTTAGATCAAAAAAAGCCCCATAGAGTATTAAACACGAACCTCCAGTGGGTGGAGTTTGGATGACTTTGCAGAGAATTCCCTTGCATTCTCTCTCTAGGAAACTGCTCCAGAGCTGAAAGCCCAGATTACATCATACATGTGCAGCAAAATTTAAGAAAATAACCCCATAAAATTATGGTTAGGGCAGACAGAATCCTAGCATAAGATGAATAGTACATAGAAAAGTAACTCAAATTTTTGAGTTTGCAAATTGTGATGTTAGAAACATTGTAAATATTATCTGGGATATAGGACTCCCACTTTTTGCTTTAAGCATTACATCTTGCTGTTACTTTCAAGTACAATAATGTTCTAATTTCTTCTGGTTTTTACTAAGTTTTCCTATTTTTATGTAAGACTTGGTTTTTAAAGTTCTCAAAAATGACAGATTTTATTTTCCTCTTTCTTATTTTACAAAAGATAGTCATAAAATTATCTGATTATATCATCATTTCAGTGTCTCTTCCTCATTCCAAAATTCAATATCTCATTGGAGTTACAGTATAGAAAATATGTGTCTCTTGTGAAAGTCAGTCAGGGTTCACTGATTCAGCCCTTTAGAGAACATTCCAATTAACATGCAGTCTAGGTGTAAAATTTAAACATAAGAAAGCAAAATCTAAACCCAGGATAAATGAAACACAATATTTTGTTTAACAGATCTCACCTCAGAAAATCATGAGTTATTCTTATTGAGCAAATAGCATGTTGCTAGTAAAGCTGATCTCATTTGTCTTAATAGTGTTCTTAATACTGAAAAAACTTTCTCGGACTCCTTCAAACCAGCATTAGTATTCCGTCAAAATATGACTTTGCCATTAGTGTGAAACTTATACTGTAGGTCAGTGATTTTTTGTATTCCAGTTTTCAATTGCTTAGTATGCACTAAGCCTTAAAAAATAGTTGTCATTAAGTGTGATAAACAAACAAACAAAAATCCCTCATTTCTAGTCATGTCTGAAGCTGAGCTATTACACCCTGATTACTTCTGCCTGTGTGCTCTCAAGTGGGAGCAGCCAATGAAGTTGTTCCCAACCCAAAGTTCCTCTGCACTAACGACAAACCACCACAGTGTTTCCATAGTGCACCGCTACAGAGTAAGGCTGCAGGGCCAACAGAAGTTGCGAATTTACTGAGTAGGTTTCCCAGAATCTCCCCAAGCCCAACCCCTGCTCATGAACCCTTGATATTTCAGTAGTGATGTCTCTGGATGTTAGTCTACTAAAATACTAATCTATAAAACCACCTACATAATAAAATGTCTGCCACCACTACCTTCAGACTAATAGTAGATTGAATTTTAGATGCAAGTTTGGTTAAGTTTTTTTTTTTTTGGCCACACCTGCACAAATGAGAAAAAGATGCATTAAATAGTTCTACTAAGAAAAAGAGAAACACAGATACTGAAGTCCAACTCTTCTTATTATATCTTGAAGATAGGGATAAATTATTTCTTCATTTACTTCTTTTCGTATGAAATTGCAAGGTAGCTAATAACTAAAATGTGAACATTTCAAAGATGATGCACTTTGCTCATGCAAAAAATGGAACATGAACTTTAGAGAAGGGTGAATAGGCTGAAAAAATTTTCCATTCTCCTCATTGAAAAGACTACAGTAATGGTCATATTTGACATACAAAAGCTTATAAGAGCTGTTACGAAATATTTTCACAAGTCTAGCTAGTACAACTAAGCACAATATTAATTTAGCTATCTTTTCTCTAATGCTGTGATCCAACTATAATGTCATCAGTGGGAACAGGGAATTTTGAAACTATTACATATAATCTTTAATGCATTAGAATATTTTAGCAAAAACTACATTTACTGTAATGATTTTCATAAAATTAGCACTTTTCAAAGTAAAATAAAATGTCCATCTTGTGTGGTGAATTGAATGGAACTCACTTGCTTCGCTTTTCCCATGTTATTTCTGCATATGATAAGATTTGTAAGACTTGATGACAATTCCAGAAAGAAAATGGTCTGCATTTTGCATTTGTACAGGACAACAGGCAAACATCTTCAAACTCTGCCAAATTAACTGAAGAATAGTTCATCCTTTCCCATGAGCTCACTAGAAAGTGAGAGCTCATAATCAAGTTTACTTTTTTTTTTTTGCATGCATAATTTTTATACATCACACACCATCTACAATGTGGTCACCTGCAAGAGAAATTTCATTAGAGCTTTCCATCAGTCGTGCTCTGCCATATATGAGACCCAGGCTGCATTCTTAACTTTTTAGCCTCTCAACCAGTAACAGGCTGCGTTGCTATGTGATTTGAGCACCAAAACAAGAGAGCACAGCACTCCTCTCCCTTCATTGCAGAGCTCATTTCATAGTTAAAACTATGATGTTCTCTAACTCTGGTATTCAATTACTCTGCAAAAGTACTGAGTGTTTTGTAGAAGTAGGAAGGAGTCAGATATAACCTCTGTTCCAAGAAGCATAGGGTAGATGACAGCAAAATCATAACTAATGTGGTTTCCACATAACATATGTGATCACCCAACCCAAACCACCAAAATACTTTCTCTTTACGCTTTTTATGAGAAAGCAAGAATATCTGATTTTTTGATTAGCCAATAAAAACAGGTTAACTCAGTAAGAATGTATAAACTGTTTAAAACAGTCAGTGATATTATTTTGTATTATTCCAAAGAGGAATAAAGTTTGTCACTGTGACAGTGTCCCACTTGGCAATAGTTATACCTTTTTTTCTTAAAGGCCTCCTATGCATAACCTTCAGGAGTCAGTAAAAACTACCTGTTTAGAAAACCATGGTGACCATAAGTGTTTTCACAAATAACAGTTAAAAAGTAGCCACAATTTTTTAACATAAACCTTTTGATTACAGATGGCCCAGACTTAGGTTTCCTGGAAATTTTTTTTTCAATTTTCCGATAAGCACTGGTTGTGGACACAATGTTACTAGCCAGATGGGCAAAGTACAAATACAATGTGGAATTGCAGTGTTTCTGTACAGACTCTGTTACAATGCTTAAAAGAAATCGCTAATGAAATGTTCTAATGTGCTTTGAAGAAATAGGCAAACCTAGGAATCACAACTGCCACATTTTACATTCAGGTCCATCTTTGTCCTCTATTAAAATTCCTTTAGAGTAGATATTATTTTTCATGTGGTACATCAAAGGATAATGTCTTGCCAAATGTTTCTTTGAGATTATTATAGAACTTTGGTTTTCATTCCGTATTATACTTATCAGACTCCTTGCAGGGTGTGATTCATCGTCACCTATCTCTACAGTGTCTTCTTTAAACCAGAACTTCTTACTACAATACTCACTTGCAACTTTGAGAACTGTGCATCCAACAAGGGATATTTACCCCCTCAACCTAGCAGAAATTCCTCTTTAAATTTACAGAAGTATACTCTTCAGTAGGGTCTTCATCCTGCATACTACTGCTTAACAGAAAGCTCCAAAGAGATTTTGATAAAAAATAAGGACACTGTTTACCTGGCACAGGACCCTGAAAACTCACAGTAAGGGTGGTTAAGGAAGAAAATAGGTGAAAAGACATTCAAAGATTACATATACGACCCTTTTTTCTAATCTAAATCATCTTAAAATGCTTCTGTCCAGTTGCCAATGCATGAAGTAGTTTAATTTGGCAGAACTTCTGCTTGGAAGAACACAGTGTCCTGAAGCTGGTTTTCTTATGCAGAGCCTTCCTCTCAGCTTTCAGTGTGCAAGGCATAAACCAATATACCAATAAGCTAAATCCCAAGTACATATATAAATAAAAAGGAAAAGGGTGTACATTTCCTATTGGTAAATGAGCCTGAGTTTAAATTAATGTAAACTGGTTACTCTACAGGGAGTCTAATTGTCATTCAAATTACAGTAGCCTATACTCCTCTGATTTGGCTGACTTTGTTCGTTTTGGTTTTTTTAAACCAAATCCTTGGACTTCTTCCTGTGAGTTATTTCATTAGCAGCATTTTGATTTTACTTTCCACATGGGGATACAGCTCTGATTATAGGTACTATAGATAGCTAAACATATTTCATATTTATCTCTAGGAGTACCAGCACAACTGAAGTGGAAATGTTTATCTTTGATATAAAGATGAATTTTCTTATTGACAGTTATAAATAACAAAACCAGAACAAACTTTTCAGCTTTGTCTAATAAATTCAGCGACAACTAAAGCTCCTTGTAAAATATTTCCTGGCATTGTGAAATACATCTTGCGATGTAACAGAGATAATTGAAAACACCATTAGAAGGAATTATCTTAATCTTGCATTAAAAGTCAAACACCCTTGTTTGTCATTATCCTGCTTACAAAAAATAAAATGAAAATTATGGTATTCTTCAGTAATGACCCAAAATGGTTTAATTATTCTCTTTCAAGTGGTTGTGTTTTCGACCATTACAGCAGAATATCATAAGAACTTTAACAAACTTATGATGTTTAAAGCCACACTAAAAATGAGCTATATCCAAGTACAGAAAAAAACAATATTTTATTTATAATCTTAGTTTAGTGTTTGAACTACAAATTCTGGTTCTAGAATTGTTTAAAAGATCATGGGTTTTATAGGAGGTTTTCAGAAGTAAAGTACTCTCTTGGGGTTTTGTTTTGGTTTTTGCTTTTGTTCTTTACTTTTCCTTCCTTTTTTTTTTCACATAACAGTGCTTTTGGTAAATACAGAGCAAATCATTACATGGAAATAAAAGTTTTGCTTGTTTGTTTTTCTTGGTTTTAAAGTTGCTGTTATTATTCCATTCTCTATTGAATAATTTCAAAAAGGGCATGAGAAAACAAAATAAAAAAGGAGAAAAATTGACAAAATAGACCGAATCTCACCACTAGAATTCACCATAAAAATTCCCAAAGTGTAATAGAATTCTTACAAAATTTCCTAGACCAGTTCTTTTAGGGAATCAAGATCTCCTATGAAAAATATGGCAAATGGGAATCAGTGTAGGCTGGGAAGGAAAAAGGGAACGAGGAGGGTCAATAAGTGCAGCAAAACCAGGTTCTGAGGAATACACATAATTTTGTCTGCTTTAGATCACAATAGAATTTTTAATAAATAAATTTCTTTTTCTTTGTAAAGACATTTTTTTGAAACAGTAGATTTAGCCCCGTCATTTGTGTCATTTGTTTTATAAACCATCTTTTCTTGTCCCCACCCCCACCCCATAATGTCATAAATGTTTTAGATTTGAGTCTCTTGTACATTGTCTTTTGAGTTCATTCGGATCAATAACGGTTCATGCACTGAACTGTGTATTGAATTTATTGTGTTAACTGTTGTTGTGTGATTGAAAGGAGACTTATAAGAGTTATAGTGATTTAGGTGCTCATGCTCTATTGCTGGCATGGGCAAGTGACTCTCTAACGGTGTGTCACCTGTAAGCTCATCATCCACATTAATGATCTCTACAGTCCGTGTTGGAGCATGATGGTTCTGCCGGTGATGCTGTTTCCTCATTTTGTAGAAAATTACCAGCATCACAGCAGCCATGAGAGTGATAGCCACAAAACAACCAATTATGATTTTGGTAGTCTTCATAACCTCATCTATTCCCGGGATCCCGTTGTTTGCGTCCGTCACAGGAATGGTGAATGTTTTTTCTGTTGATCTTGTGCTCTGTGGAGTGAGTGAGGTTGTCATGTTAGTGGTCTCCCAGCTGGTAACTGGTGTGGGCCCAACCTGCTCTGTGGTCTGTGCCTCATCCTGAGAAGGTTCCACAGTTTCTACTGTGACGGTTGAAAAGTACGTGTAACCAGGGTTATCCAGGGCAGTAACATTCAGTGTGGCAGAAGCTGTGGTATTCCCAACAGAGTTACTCACCATGCATGTATACAAACCCGTGTCTTGCACAGTTACCTTTGTAAAATTTAATGTGCCATCACTGAGCACAGCAATACGAACTCTGTATGCCCCGTGCGTCATAACAGATCCATTTGGAGTAATCCAAGACACAGAGGTCAGGGAGGTTGATGCCCGGCATTTCATCTCTGCAGCCATGCCTTCTGTGACATTGAGGTCTGCTGGTGGCTCCACTATGACTGGAGCATAACACGTGAAATAATTCAGGTCCAGCTCACCAATGTACCTTCCTTTTAAACTGGGAGGTGTATGACAACGGGCACAGCATGCAGTATTGGAGGGTGCCTTGTCTTTAATCCACCAGCTGAGCCAAAGGATATCACAGTTGCAGTTCCAAGGATTGTGATGCAAGTGGATCCTTTCTAGGCGGAGTGGTGTGAACAGGTCATGAGGCAGTAGCGTTAGATTGTTGTGTGCCAGATTGATCTCTACGAGTGACTGAAGGTTATCAAAAGCATTCCTTTCTATCACTTGAATCTGGGACTGTATCATCCACAATTTCTGAAGATGCATTAATCCTTGGAAAGAACCTGGCCGGATGGCAGTCAGGTGATTCCCAGAAAGATCTAGCTCATCCAGTTTTACAAGTGGGGTGAGGTTAGGAATCTCTCGAAGATTGCACATGGCAAGGTTCAAATACCTCAAGTTAGACAGACCTTCAAAGGCACCTTCTGAGATGTATGAAAGCCTTTTCAATTCCCCCAGATCCAACCTCCGAAGAGAAGGGATTCTGTTAAAAGCATATGAAGGGATGCTCTCAATGGGGTTGTTTCTCAACCACAGTTCCTTCAGTTTTGACAGGTATACAAAAGCTCCATTTGGGATAGTGGTTAGACGATTGTCAAAGAGTTCCAAAGTGTTGAGATTGGCCAGACCATTGAAGGCCCCTATTTCAATTGTTCTGATGTGATTCCTGCTAAGCTGCAGGATTTCCAGGTGCCTCAGATGTTTGAAGCTATTAACTTTAATGATTTGGATCTGGTTCTCATGGAGATTGAGTAACCGGGTGTTGGTGGAGATGCCGTCTGGCACGTCTCTCAGATTTTTTCGTACACAAATCACTTTACTGAACTGGTTGCTGCAGGAGCATACAGAAGGGCAAGTTTGAGCCCTCACTAGACCAGCCACCACAAGAAGCTGAAGAGCCAACAGCACCACAAGCAGGGGGTCAAATAGGGCCCTGTTAAACCTAGGACCTATCATTATCTGCTGTGGATGTAAGGTCATCTTGTTCAACATTCATAATTTATTTGGTGTTGATCCTTCTGTAGTTTGAATAGCCTGAAAGAAAGAAGGGAGAAAGACAACATTAAATTAATCTCAAATATTTGAGTGTGCTCTCTAAACAAAGACATCTCAGGTTCTATCAGTCAACTCTACCAATTTCATGGAACTCTGCAGCAAGAATAGCTCTAGAAATTCCAATATTTTGTTTCCTGTACAGGTATGTATGTCAGCTATAATTGGCAATGAGATAAGAAAAATCCAGACACTAATTGTTCCTGCTCATTCCATTGTATAATGCATGTAGCTGGGTGGCAGATAACAAGTTCAACCATAGTGGATCCTTAAAATAAATGTTCTTATTCAGCGGGAGAGTTAAAAGAACTGATAAGGGCCTCAAAAGGCAAAAAATTCTAAGAACAATCAGCATATTCAAGGTGTTAAACTTCTTGACACATTATAAGACAAGACAACGGATAATATGAACAGCAAGTGGAGACTCCTGTTTTACATGGATGAAAATCTTTGTCTGTACAAACATGATTCCTGCATTGGTGTTCAAAAAGAAGTAAAGCCTTTAATACTGAATGTAGCAGGTCATGCAAATGTCAAGGCAAGATCTTGCCTATTTCGAATTAAGAGAAATAAAATACAAAATAAACATGCTGAGCATCAGTTCTTCCCTACCGTTAAACAGCATCATCCAATTTCACGATAATTCCTCCTCAATTCTTTTGTTTGGCACAAGCAGTAAAGAAACACTCATTAGTAAATATATGCTGAACACAGAAACAAGAAGAGCCATTTAAATGCTGAAACATATCTCTGTAGCTTCAGGATTGGCAGTTTCACTGGCACCTCTGAAAAAATCCTACAGATCTTACTGTAAGGGGAAAAAAGACCTTTACACTACAAATGATCATTAGCATTTTAAGAATTTCAGTACTGATTCATTTGTGGTAGTTCTTAAAGCCTCTAGCCCTCAGTTCATTTTCAATCTGCTGCTCAGTGAAAGGTCCTTTTGCTGTAGAGATTAATGAAATTTCCTATAAATCAGCCAAAAGTGAAGTCTTATAAATTACAGAAAGCTTAGAGCATATTTATAACCTTAAGCAGTCAGATGTATAAAACATGTATTCAGTAAAGCAAAATACTTTAAGGCAATGATTTTCCACTGCAGGCTCTGAATTGTTTCATTTTGTGTAAAAAGAGCTCTTCTTCTTTAAAAAAATACAGGAAAAAAATATAAACTACATCTCAGAGCAATTTATTTAATGAAATAATTTTTTCTTAGTATATATTCAGACTGTTTTTGAGAATTCATTTCTGCATTTTTTTAAAAACTCATAGTAGTGGTTCATAGCTAGCAAGTGTTCTAATCTTACTTTCAGAATCATAGAATAATTCAGGTTGGAAAAGATCTTTAAGATTATCAGGTCCAACCATTAACCTAGCATTGCCAAGTCCACAACTAAACCAATGTCCCTAAGCACCAGATGTACACATCTCTTAAACACCTTCATGGAGGGTGACTCAACCGCTTGCCTGGACAGCCTGTTCCAATGCCTGACAACCTTTTCAGCGAATAAATTTTTTCTAATATCCAGTCTGAACCTCCCCTGACACAACTGGAGGCCATTTTCCCCTGTCCTGTCACTATGAGAGAAGACACCAACACCCACCTCTCTGCAACCTCCATTCAGGTAGTTACACAGTGATCAGGTCTCCTCTGAGCCTCCTCTTCTCCAGGCTAAAGAGCCCCAGTTCCCTCAGCCGCCCCTCACAGGACTTGTGCTCCAGACCCTTCACCAGCTCTGTTGCCCTTGTTTGGACACAATCCAGCACATGAATGTCTTTCTGGAAGGAGGGGGCCTAAAACTGAACAAAGTATTCGAGATGCAGCCTTACCAGTGACCAGTACAGGGGCACAATCACTTCCCTAGTCCTCCTGGCCACACTGTTTCTGATACAGGACAGGATGCCAAAGGCCTTCTTAGCCACCTGGGCACACTGTTGGCTCATATTCAGCTGGCTGTCAGCCAACACCCCCAGGTCCTCTTCCTCTGGGCGTTTTTCCAGCGTTCTTCACCACGCAACTCAAGCCACAGTGTAATACTGTGTGGGTTGTCGTGACCCATGTGCAGGACATGGCACTTGACCTTGTTGAATCTCATACTGTTGGCCTTGGCCCATCGATCCAGCCTGTCCAGATCTCTCTGTAGAGTCTTGCTACCCCCAGGCAGATCAACACTCCTCCTCAACTTGGTGTCATCTGCAAACTTACTGAGGGTGCATTTGATCCCCTTGTTCTGGCCCCAACACCGAGCACGGGGGAATACCACTTGTGACCAGTCGCCAACTGGATCTAACTCCATTCATGACCACACTTTGGGCCCAGCCACCCAGACAGTTATTTGCCCAGTAAAGGGTACACCCATCCAAGTAATGAGCAGCCAGTTTCTCCAGGAGAATCTTCTGGCAAACAGTGTCAAAAGCTTTACTAAAGTCTAGGTACACTACATCCACAGCCAAGGCACTTCCATCCTGTTTTGACTTCTTGCACCTGATGGTAGCTTCCACAATCACCTTCACCCGTTCCTTTATCCAGCCAATCTTCCCTTACCAACACTTCACATATGCTCCATGGGTAAAAAAAAGATAAAAACATTTTAGTTGAATACACTATTTCATTATAACAAATAAATTATCCAGTTATGAGACTAATTAGCAAAAATTGTTCAATCCAAACCAAAATGTTTCTATGTCTCAGTTGCAAAAAAATTTTTAAAATAAATAGGTTTTTTTTCTTCTTCTTAAAATAAATTCCCTGTATTTCTCCTATTTTTGGTTATTGACTCAGAGAATGAATCAGTCACATAAAACAGCTCTTTCCTTGTGCTGAAGGCCAAAATTTCCCATGGCTTTTATGTTTATGTTTTTCCCAAGTCCTGTGCCAGGGATGTCTCAATCAAACATATGCCTCAGAACTACAATCTATCAAAGACCTTGAGGGATTTCTGAAACCCTCAGGTTTATGCAAAATTAAATTCTGTGTATACTTCCAGTACATGTTGGTTCACTGACTACTTATTAGCTGCTCTGAGTGTATAATTTTGAAGACAAGATCACCATTTTGTGAGATGTGGATAGAAAGCTCTAGATGCATGTTCATATGTGTCGGTGTGTTTGATTTTTCTGTGTCTAAGCTGTATGTTATATAAATACAGAAGATCTATATTACCATTTCTCTGGAACATTGTCAGGGAGGCAGTGAGAACAAATCTTAGCTTTTGTAGCCACCATTCGATTTAACTTTGGAGTTACTTACATTGCTAATTTTTTTCCCTCTTCAGTAACAGAGGAAGCAAAGTACAGTATTTCACATATGACCACACTAACTGGGCTTGAGTGCTGCTAAAGTACAGGGTAGCTGATGATTAAAAAAAGACACCATAACCAGCAGAAAATATGCCAGAAAATGCCTTGCAAGTCCTTACTTCTAACAGTGAGCTTTGCATGAGGCTAACATACTGCAGTGAGATTCTTAGTGACAGTAGGAATATATTAGAATGGTCCTTTCTTTTATAGTGGTGGTTTTCCACAGCTCAGAGCTTAAGTATTCAGGAAGTCCTAGCGCAGTCATTTCACATCAGGATAATATTAAATCAGAAATACCCTGGAAATACTCTGGAAAATTTAGCCAGCACAAACACACAGTGGAAAATTCATTTGGAGCCTTGAAGGACATTATGAAATATTTTAATGGGCTTTACATAAAGACCCATCTGGAACTCTGTACTAGAGTAATTTGCTGTTCGATATCTGTTATGCTAGAAATACATGAAGGTTTACCTTTATAAATCCACGCATGGAATACAGACCAGCAACTAGCTTTTTTAGCCTTTGTTCACAACTCTTCGTCTTCTAAATGATTTATTTTTTCTTTATTTTTTAGTGCCAAAATATCAACTCTATGGTCAATTCAATAACACTAGTGCCCTCTGCTGTACAGATTTAAAATGCTAAGAATTTCCTTACCAGTCAGTTCCCCAGACACCATACAATTACCAAATCTGTTTCCAAACATGACCCTAAGTCTGTCTGTGGCATTGCTCTAATTACCAAAGCATATATCATCTGGCATTTTAGTACAGTAATGTATATTATATTTATGGCCGTTGAGACATACATATACATGTATGGAGAGTTATTTGTTTTGTTTTCTATTTCCACAGAACTTAAAAATCTTTTTTTTCAAGTTGATATTTGACATGCTTGTGCTATCTATAGCTTATCTGAAACTTAGTCTTAATGTACTACACATTTTTCTTTGAGTGAAAAACATTGTCCGCTTAAGATCCAATGCAGAAAATGAAGCAAGGTGTGACAAAGCTAATCTAGCTCTGCAGATATGCACAGTGCAGGTTTCCTTGGGGACAACTTGAAGGATGCAGTAGTTAGGCTACTGAAAGGTAACTCTGCCAAACGTGTATGCAGAGATGTCTTCCTTATGGGCATTAGAATGGAACTCGCAATACATTTTTGGTTTTATTTTTTTGTAATTAAGTCTTAGGCCTGGTGTGCTTTGACCTCTCTCTCTTCTTTTACCAGGAGAAAGTAACTATACTCATTCCAGTCTCTCAAGGATTTTCGTGTAACAGTGGGCTTTAATTACAGAAGAGAATTCCTACACCATTCCCAAAGATCTGCCTAATGAGGTATGACAGGTGGCAAAGATATTTTCCCAAACTCCAGTGACCATTAGCTGGATCACTGGCAGTTTAGATGCTGTTGGCAACTCATACTTAGCTTTCAGTCTACACATAACTGTCTCAGCAGTGAAGCAGTGCAGTGCAAAGGCCATGGCTTTATCCAAATATATGGCTTATGATACAGTATGATCTAATACACTTTGGTTGGTGCTGAACATCTGCCATAAAAAAAAATGAGATGTGATGCTATATGTCACTGCACTGAAAATATAGACAGAATCTATCAGATATCAGGGGATTAAA